AAGACTAGCCAACTATACTTCGTGTCATTGGCATAATCATCACTTACTCTGTAATGGCAAAATAAACTCTAGTTCCTCATTTTGACTGCCGCGTTTCCCAACAAGAAAGTAGGTGCGAAATCAGGGTTGGTAATCAGGCGCAACGCTTAAATTGTTTACACAACATACTCGAAGTCGAGTGACGTGACGTCACATGTTTTTATCTTTGCTGCCGCGCGTACCGCTTGTACGCGGCACCGCTCTGCACGGTTTGTGAGCGCTTGGAATTGGCTGGAACCACTGTTCAAACAACCATCGGCAGATAATTGTAACTTTTCAGATTAATTACGCTTTTTTTAAGACAACGCACGCGCAGTGAAATGGAGGAACTAGAGGTTTATTTTGCCATAATCGGTGTGGTATGATTATGGCATTGACCGAGTATTTTGCTGTCTAGTACTGAGAAATTAGCGTACCGTTGGATGCGCATTGTGCGGCTTTAACCCCTACTGAACTGCATAGAAATGCTGTGTTTGAGCATAACTCATATCCGGCCAAATCCCATATGTATCCAGATGGCAGATGGGTGCCGGTCCCGACAAGGCCGGATAAAGGAGGTTGGACTGTATACTGCTTTGTTGAGGTCATTTAAGTGGTCCAGAGTCATACAGCATAGCACTGGTCCTAATATTGTTCCTTGTCTAACTATTTCTTTTGTTATGAAATTTTCTGTTTCTGATGTTTTTACGTTAATAATTGCTTTTTCATTCGTTTTGAAAATTATCTCCCAGCATGGTTCCTTCAATCCTCTAAACCATAGTTCTACCATTGCATCTTTTAGCCACAGGCTATCAACACATTTTCCACCAAATAGCAGAGAACTTTCGTGAGACCTTTTAACCTTAATGTTATAGATGTTTGTCTTCTCTAGTACTCAGAACCCAGTGGAAAGAAATTGGAGATGAGATTGACAACGAAAAGGAAAATGTAAATATGAAAGTTGAGGTAGAGGAGGGGAAGCAGAAGGAGGAAGAACACTAGAACACAGTCATGGAATTGTTCAACTGTTCATCGTCAAGTCCCGCTGATGAATAATTTCCGTTGTTGCAGATATTTGGACATCTTAAATAAGCAGTAGCGGCAAATGCTGTTCTAGGACAGCAAATCCAAGGATGGACGATCAAGGTGAAGAAGCACCATGTGAAATCGTGATCGATCAGAAACAGGACTCAACATCGAAACAACGTACTAAGCGCAAAAAGAGGAAAAATAAAACTGAACGCGCTAGTGGCATAATCGGAGGTGCGCAGCAACCTGAGGTAAGCCATTCCAAGAGTGACGTAAAGCAAACAAAAACCAGTGAAGGTCCATCACGAACAAGAGATGGACATGACAATAAACGTGATGTCAGTGCCAAGTTAAAGGACAGCGGTGAGCTTGATCTAAAGACTTCCGGCATCGGGCGAAGAAAAAAGCCTCTCGACAATAATGCCACGTACCTGTACACACCGCCTCACAAACGAGAAGAGCAGCAGATGCTGCCATCTGGTGTTAGGCGAGCCAAGAAGAAACAGACGGTCAGCAGTCGACTCACTGCCCCGCCCAGCAGCACGTGCGCAGCAAACAAACCGGCAGATGCAGGTGCGGGAACTACTTCCCGTGTTGCCGTCGAAGATGCAGCGGTCAATAGAAGCAGTCAGAGGCTGCCACAGTCACCTATTCAGGCACCAACACTGCCACCGGATCGTGAAGCAGTGAAAGCTAGAAAGGCTGATAGGTTGGTAATGGTAGCAAAGGATTCTGACAGTGAGATTGAACCGATGTCACAGCAGCGACACAAACCCGCTGATCAGAATGTGGTCGCTAAAAAAGCCAATAAATCTGCAAAGGCTCTTCACATGGATAAGCAAATGACGTCGCAGCAGCAACGTCAGCCGTTAGTAGCATCGATACAAATGTTGCAGCAGAACGTTGCTTCTTGTAAAGGTAAGCGTAAATACTTATTGCATTCATAATTTAATTGCACGTAAATTAATTACGGTATGAATAGAAAATTGCCGCTACAGCAATGTTTCTTTCTTCTGGTTGCAAACATTGCTGTGCATATTGCAGTACACTGATTGTTTGTTTTTTTAATAAATCAAATGATAGCCAAATTAGTGTTTGTAAACCCTATCTAGTTTGATATTCAAACTTTGTACTATGGATTTTAAGGGCCAGTGATAACCTTGGACCCAGCTGAGGTGCTAGATGAGACAAAACCATCTGCAGAAGTGCTAGAGAAACTTGAAAAAGAAGGCCTTTTTCCACTGAAGAAGGTATAGTAATCATTTCTATATGTAGTGTGCCATATTTATGTGCACCACTGCAGCTTTGCACCAAATTTCTTGCATGCATGCATATACGTCATCTTGTAAATTACTATGTAAGCATTTCAACAGACTGAGGTTAATTATTAAAAATCTATATCTTTACATAATAAGGGTTAAATTTAAGTGTTGGTAATGCACTGGAAAACACCAACTATAACACTGCATAAAATATTGGGGCATAACAACAATTTTCTAGAATAATTTCTTTGTAAATTTCCAGAGAAATTCAGAACCAAACTTCATTTTAATAGCCAGCACTTGTCGAGTCAATATTATAAAGGTTGTTAAAGTAAAAACCATTATAATTAGTGATGTCACGATCATCGATTATACTCGATCATCGGTTGAACAATGGCTCGAACCAAGTGCTTGGTTATCAAAATCCATAATCTATTTCATAAAAAAAAAAAAAAAAAATTGAAATTAATGTAAAACTTGAACAAGAAAATTTGGAAAAGTGATGAGAATCAGAGATATCATCGCTACTATACAAGTTATCCTTTATTAACATAAATGTATTATACACATAGTAGTAAACAGTGCAAAACAAACAGTAAACAGGGCTAAACAAGCACATACATGCACACACGTACATGCACACGACGTTACGCACACGCAGGCATTCAACACCCCTCTTACTTGGGTCCAACCGATGATCGATTACGAAATTACAACCGATTGACAACACTAATTATAATATAACTAAATAACTTCAGTTTAAGTAGTGTTTTGCACATATCGATATTAGCTGTGCTACTAACTATAATTTATATGTGCTACCATGAAAAGTGTGTTGATTTTCAGTCTTACATGCATCCATTTCCTACTCTTCTGATTCTATCTTTTACCATCTTTTCTGTAGAAGTCGATGAGGTTTCCTAGAGCCCGATACTATTGTCGTCTCTGTGAGTATCATTGTGATTCTGTACAAATCTCCATGAAACACATCAAGGAGGCAAGACACCAACGTCATAGCAAGGTAAGCAAACGTGTCAGTTTGTTCTTGCTGGGAGATAGTTCTTGTTTGTACTAAGTCTATCATCCAGAACATTAAAACTTTTAAAAGCAGTGCAATGTTACATAGTCTCTTTAATGGACATTGTGTTTGTATAACTTTCTAAGAACTACTAAGTACTAGCAGTGTGAAGTATGGCTTTTAGGTACAATAAATAAAAATTCCGTGTTCATGCTATAGCTGTGTAAACCGTAAACTCAAAGATCAGCCTCTCCATTAACTGTAAATGTTATGATGACCTGGTGTAACCGGCAGTTATATAAGCGGACAAGCCTAGGGAGCATATCTTGTCTGTTAAATTGACTACGTCACAAATCTTCTATTGTGTATGTTTGTATAAAAATTTGTTGAATTTTTTTACATGAAAAGCAAGTACTAATGGCACTAAATGCCTCAAATTCTTACATGATGAGATCGTTTTTCAACTAGTTACAAATTCAAAAAAATTGCCCGATTTGATATATTGATCACGACATTGAAGGTGGACATCATTTTTTGACTTTTACTATTTACGGTGACGTAATCACTTTAAATGAGATACGACGATGCAGACTACTGTATACGCCATATTTTTCGCGTACAGATATTTTCGCGAATTCAGACTTGACGGACAATTTCGCGAGTGGTTAATTTCGCAGTCGGTGAATTATGAATTATTCGGTATTATTCGGTATGAATTATTCGCATGTTGTTATTTTCGCGGTTGGGGACGCGTTCGCGAAATTAGCAAAAATGAAACTGGTCACCGCAATATATACAGCGTATACAGTATGACACGATCGGATGTTTCAGTGGAAGCACGACGAGTACTTCCTCAAGCACTTGCCAGCGGCGTGCGACATACATCTTTCCTCGCTGGATACAGTGCTGCTTCGCACTGCTGCGGAGAAAGCTCTGCGCACCGCGGGGTGGGCACGAACACAGGCTGTACTCGCCCACGTCCGCAGTGTCGTACACGCAGAGATGTCAGGTTGGTTGTATCAGAAGTAGATAATAGCGAAGGAGTGTGACTTCAATAAACATGGGAAATTCGTAATTTACTAGCATTAGAATACCTACGATTTACTACGCGTAAAATCGTACACAGTATATTCGCCTAGCATCGTGCGAAATCATTTCCTCGTATACACCCGCAATCCGGAGATACAGACTAAAACGTACGACACGATTCTCCATTCTGTTGGCTGCAAATCGACTCCATAACCTGATAACTTGAAACAATAGGCAGCTACTAATGACTCTTGCGCCCTCGGCGATGCGGTGTGGCTCGCTGGGAGATTGGAGCTGGAGCTGCTGCTGATTGCGGTGGGCGTGCGTGCGTGGGGGGCATACCAGCTGTAAATAGGTCAAAGATTAGCTCGCCGAGTGTTGCGTCGATGTAAAATCTCCCAGCGAGCCACACCGCATCGCCGAGGACACAAGAGTGCGCAAGAGTTGTTAGTAGCTGCCTATTGTTTCAAGTTAGGCGGGTTATGGAGTCTGTGTACGATTTGAGCTCAAGTTGGTTGATTTACGCGTAGTAAATCATAGGTATTCTAAGGCTAGTAAATGACGAATTTCCCTTGTTGATTGAAGTCACACTCCTTCCCTATTATCTACTTCTGGTTGTATGTACTGCGCCGCAGTTGAATATCGTACAGTCGGCAAAAAGGCACTAAGGCCGACCTAAAAATTACCTTTGGTTCGGGTCACCCGCCCGACTTCACATTTCGGAGTGATAAAATGTGCGACTGCGGTCACTTTTAGAGGGTTTCAAGAAAAAATAAAATTCAAAGATACCGCCTGCCGATCATACATATTCAAATATCCGACTCTTGTCATTTTATTTACCTAAGGAGAGTTCCAAAATATTTATAAACAGAACTTCGTTGGCGCGAAGTGAAACAGTTCCTACCTACGTTTCCTAGAATCCTACAACGTGAAACAGTCGTATAGAGGCCTGGGCCGGGCCGGCCGGCTACTTCATAAACAGAGCCTGAAGGTCGTATGGCGCAGCGGCCGGCTTTGATGTACGCGATCGATCGCGTACTATATAGTATACGCATGCTATCGTGCTATACGCGGCCGCAGAGCCGTTTACACTTCGGTTACTCGCTTGTTCAAAGGGACGATTAATCAAGCTCCGTTTTTGGAGCGATTCCTAACACTACTATCCAGTACACGACACGAATACCAGTACACGACACCAGTACACGACTGGTGTTCACATTTTGAAAACAATGTCATGACTTGCAGCAATGGTACATGCAACTGCAAGTCATTTGCATCTCGTGGCTCCTGCATTTCAAGCTGTATACCCTATATTTAACTTGTGAAAAAAAAAATTTATATTCCTGCCTACCCATGTTTTTGCAGGAAAAAAATTTATAAACAAAAAAAAATGTTATGCCTACCTACCGACCCTAATTTTCACAATCCATGTGACCCGAACCAAAGGTATTTTTTTGTTTGGCCTAAAAGGCATTCTCTGTATTAGCAATATAAAACAAAGAAAATGAGGAAAAAACAAAGCCTGTGTTAAGGATACTCACCACGTTGTGCAAGGGTATTGCTCTAGTGAAGATTAAACGTTTATCGAATGGCTCACACACTATGTCCCACCGTGTGTACATGCTCATTTCTTTCCATATAACGGTACAATGTGAACCCTTCAGAGCGTTTTTGCTTGCCCCCCGTACATGTAGGTAAGCAGCGGCTTGAACTATTATGAGTCAGAGCAGGATACAACCACGGATATTCTAGTGAAATAAATAAGGCCAGAGTCTTTCAGTGTAACCCTGCTAGCTGTATTACATGTATTCATGTACTTCGTGTAGCATCTGTCTAGTGATCCTATCAATTATCGCACGCCCAAAATAGTTCTGAACACCTCGCAACTGCGGAACACACCTTTACTGTAGTGGCGGCCGGATACACGGCGCGTGTTGTTGATATGTAGGCTTTGTGAGCGTCAGGAGATGGCTGGAGTTCGCGCGTTCTTTGCCGCATGCGGTAACCTCGTAATTTTCAGAATTTTCATGGTGGCATGGCATTTTAGCAATTTAGTTGGTGGGCATGTCGTCGATGGATATGGTGGCGCAGTAGTACCTACAGCTTAGATATTTCATCTCGTTCGACCGATTATTGCACAGGCGGGTCACTCATGTGAAAATAGTAAAACGCTGTATTCTCCGTTATGATTTCCTGGTAGTAGTTTCCGAGCTGTATAAACTACTGGATTATTTTTCTCGTGATTCACTCGGATTAATGTATTTTATACACTCGTTTTAATGGTTACCACTTCTGTGATGTGGTAAAAGGGCTCTCTCAGGGATTGTTCTGAAGTGCCTTACTTTATTAGTTATGGTCTCTTTAGTTCGCGCTACATGATTCTATTTTGTACACACTAATTGATTTTTAAGGCAGTTTTTCGAGTTTTACTCAGTAATATGTAAATTAAGCAATTCCTGATGCGGCCATTTTTAGGTCCATATTGTGCGCTTAAACATGTGGGCAAAAAATTGTGATATCCTCACTCGTTCTTGGCTAGTGAGGAAATATCAAATTCATTTTTAGCATAAAATTCAAATTTGTGTGGTAACATGAATTAGGGTCGTGCTGCGAAATTTCATAAATTTTTTGCTTGCAGCGGTAGAGATATATCATCCTTATTAAATAAACAAGTGATTGTATTGATTCATTTCGCCAATAAACGTTAATCTTCACTAGAGCAATACCCTTGCGCAACGTGGTGAGTATCCTTAAACGTTTTGCCAAGAAATCGTTAACCTGGGGCTCACCACACAGAGCGGTACATATGCTCAGATATTTATGTATGCAGATTGGCAGTGCAAAGATTTTGGTCATATTAAGTATCTTCATCCGATATTGCAGAAATGAATTAGGAACGCATGTTTAACAATGATTTGCAGGACTGCAATGCAATCTTTATGGGACTGCTGCGAGTGGATTCGGACTTGAGACGTGTGACGTCAATATCAACATAAGAGTGCCTGATGAGAAGGAAGCTCCTACCTGCCTTATTAAGGCACTGGATGTTCTACAGAAGTCCGGTGAGAAATGTGTGGCCAACTGCATCTGTTTAGGCTTACACAAAAATCTTTGTGCATAAATAATGCAAATTAATATTGCCGCTTATAAGTTGTCGGTTTTTCTCTGTATATTCATTTGTCATTGTTGCAGATGTGTTCTATGTTCATTTGTCATTGTTGCAGTCTTGCAGATGTGTTTTATGTATTCATTCATCATTGTTGCATGTGTGTTCTATGTGTTCATTTTTCATTGTTGCAGATGTGTTCTATGTTCATTTGTCATTGTTGCAGATGTGCTCTATATGTTAATTTATGATTGTTGCAGATGTGTTCCGCGACGTTCGCAGTCATTTTAGCAGCAGAGTTCCGCGCGTTCTCTTCGTTGACGCCGAGCTCGGGCTCAGTGGCAGCGTCAGCGCCACCTGTGAGGCTGCAGCTCTCACGTCTCAGCTGCTGGAGGTGTACAGTAGAATCGATCCACGCTGCAAGCAGCTCGGTGTGCTGTTCCAAAACTGGGCCAGGGTAGGTGACAGCTCTGTGCCTGAACACCCGACATTACTATACTATTTACACTACTAAAAGCATACATTTTACACAATGAACTTTACACAAAATACCTGTACACCCACTAAAAGCACACACTATATGCACTGTACTTTCCAGCAGTCCAGAAGTGCTGTGTGTTTGTAGCACTGAAATGTACTGCAGAGAACGACAGTGCTACGCTTTTAGTAATGTACAGGTGTTTCGTGTAAAGTTGTGTGCGTAAAATTTATGCTCTTAGTAGTGTGCAGGTGCTTCATGTGACGTTTCTGTGATTCACGTTCACAGTGGCGTAATGTTACCAACCTCATGTCATAAGCGAGTTATCTCGTTTGCTCGATGAGTCTTGTCACAGAAACCAAAGTAACACAGTTGCCAAGGCTCTGTCAGGAGCCATGAGGAAAGTTTCGCTTGCTGGGTTACCATAAGTGAGATGTGTAGGTACCTGGTACATAGCAGTTCATGTTACGCTTTACTTGCTCGGCTAGCATAAGTGACGTTCTGGTACTATGTGGTGGTGACTGTTGCACATGTGAGCGTTCTCGTGGCAGGTGTGTGGAGTTGACAAGCAGGACTTAGGCACATTGCCACCTCATGCCTACAGCATCATGACTGTCTACTTCCTGCAGCAGTTACAGCCACCCGTCCTACCAGTCCTACACGAGGTAAGCATGAGTTGCACTAGCACGCACCTAGATGCATTGAAGGCATAAGGGAGGATTAGTACCCCCCTATTAAAAACCGAATATTTTCTCCGATAGATGGCGCCACTTTACATTAAGGGCTTATAGCGACAGCATATATCATACACAAATATATAAATGTGTATTTATGTATTTGTATATATGTATGTATATCTATATATATATGTACATATACATGTGTATATATACGTATGTGTGTATATATATATATTTGTTTATTTATTTATACATGTACATTTACATGTATGGTGAGAAACATTAAAAGTAAGAACTAACGCAGGGTTCAACATCGGGCTAGTAACTGAGGAAAACCACTAGCCCTGACCTAACTTTCAACAGCCCAGACCCTGACCATTGTTATGGAAAACTTTATTTAGATAAGAGTGTGTCATTGTATGAATTCATAGATGCTGTTTCCCGCGCTTTAAATCGCGTGTGGGCCGAGTTCACCGTTCACGTGCAGCATTCGTATTCTTCCACGGGCATACACGAGCACACGGTTTATCGATCGTCTACTGCGGCTGGCAGCAAGCCATGTTATTGTTTTTCCCGAAGGGTAGACTGGTATCCGGCCTCACGCTCTGCTAGACAATGTACACGCTATGCACCAAACAGTGCGGCCGCGAACCAGTCTAGCCAGAGGTGACCTTTCAGTGCAATATATAGGACCAATTATAACACGACTAGTCGGGCTACTGGCCCTCTGGTTGTATGCGACCGGACCAAGCATTTACCCGACTAGGTCGGTCGGACGTGGGTTAGTGTCGAACCCTGACTAACGGGACCTAATGTATCGTCAAATTCTTACCTGATAAGTATGTTTCTCAACTAGTTAAAAATCCAAAAAAAACTGGACGATTTGATATTATGTTCCTGACATTAATTGCTTGCCATGGGCTATGTATGAGCCACGAGTGTATGTTCACATCGAACAATATAGTAAAATAGGAAGTATAATGCAGCAATTTAACCATAAAAAGTGAACAGAATTACTTATATTTTGTGAACAAGTGGAAATATATTTTTTATTTTTTACTATTTACGAGGACGTAATCACTTTAAGGGGCGTACCCCCACATTTGCTCAAATTACTGCGCGCGCCTAACTACAGTAAAAACCCGCGTATAAGAACATAGATTTTTCCAAGTTAGCCTCAACATGTTCTTATATAAATGGTGCTTACTGAAAAATTAGGCTCAAAAGGTTCTTAAATAGGTTCTTAATTGTTTCTACTTTTAATATGTACTAGCTGAAACCCGCGCTACGCGCGGGCTTAGTATCTGTGATGCATGTGTTACCAGTACAGTAGTTGTTATGTGTAAGGTGTTATATGGAGAGTTTAGTTGTTGCACATGTTTGTTTTTTTATGGTTGAGATGTCAATACAAATACATGTACAATCATGCTTACACGTAACACATTAACCATTTGTTTGGCAAGTACACAGTGAAATACAGACACACGCACACACACACACACACAAATGTTTTATTGTATGCTATGTAGAAACTACTGGTTGATGATACGGACTCCAAAGTTAGAATATAGATAGATCTGAATGGGCTGGTAGGTCGGGCGACTCATTAACCACTTGGCTGCGTAGCACGTAATATTACGTGCTTCGCATGTTTCCACTGTGTGCGGAATATGTAAATAATGCAGTACTGTGTCTCAATAACAATGCCAGGGTGCTGGCATTGTTATTGTTGAGCATTGGCATTGGCATTGGCATTGGCATTGTTATTGCATCGATATGGTTGAGCTCGTCTTTTTTATTTTACCTGTGTTTCTTTTTAAGTCTTCATCTGCATGGAAAATTAAGAACCTACTTTAAAATCTTAGCCTAAAACAGGTTCTTATGTAAAGGGGTCTAAATGGGAAATTTTAGCCTAACATGTTCTTAAAATCTATGTTCTTATACGCGGGTTTTTACTGTATCCTTGATCCGCCTTGTACACCTAACTAGGGTAGCAAAAGATAATAAACCAGATTCATTACCAGAACAATTATTAATGTCTATAATATAGATATGGTGGATATAAGATAGATATGAGAAAGATAATTAGGTAGGCTCTGACTATAAGGTCCAATAGAGGTACGGTGGGCTTGGTAACATTCTATATCAGGTTTGCAGTAAGTGATTGGTGTACTGTAACAATGCTATCTTGTGATTTTTAGATGCCATATGAAAAGACTGATAATGAAGAAAATTACCCAGATTTCCTGAGCGATCCTGCAATAGTGGTGCGTATAGGTGATGCATTTATTGTATCCCCCGCGACGAAGTCGGCGGGGATACTATGGTTTCATGTCTCACCAGCCGCCGCCGCAGACAATTTCTCTTCCGCTCTATAACTCGACCCCTAATTGACCTAGTGCTACCAAACTTGGTATACTTACACATCTTGGGGAGAAGGTGAGCAGCGTACCAAAACCAGGTAACTGCGACCTTTATTTGACCTTTACCTTGACCTTCATCATATTTCCCTTCCGCTCTCTAACTCGGCCCCCTAATTGACCTAGCGCTACCAAACTTGATATACTTACACTTCTTGGGGAGAAGGTGAGCAGCGTATCAAAACCAGGTCACTGCGACCTTTATTTGACCTTTACCTTGACCTTGATCATATTTCCCTTCTGCTCTCTAACTCGGCCCCTAATTGACCTAGCGCTACCAATCTTGGTACACATACACATCTTGGGGAGAAGGTAAGCAGCGTACCAAAACCAGGTCACTGCGACCTTTATTTGACCTTTACCTTGACCTTAATCATATTTCCCTTCTGCTCTCTAACTCGGCCCCTAATTGACCTAGCGCTACCAAACTTGATATACTTACACTTCTTGGGGAGAAGGTGAGCAGCGTGCCAAAACCAGGTCACTGCGACCTTTATTTGACCTTGATTATATTTCCCTTCTGCTCTCTAACTCGGGCCCCTAATTGACCTAGCGCTACCAAACTTGGTATACTTACACATCTTGGGGAGAAGGTGAGCAGCGTACCAAAATCAGGTCACTGCGACCTTTATTTGACCTTTACCTTGACCTTGATCATATTTCCCTTCCGCTCTCTAACTCGCGCTGAGGGATCGACGCGTCTCTTCCGCAGGCTCTCCAGCTGCCACATCAGCATCAGCATTCAGATGTCGTCGCAGCTGTTGTTCGCTGAGAGATCGATCGCGTCCTTCCGCAGGCTCTCCCGCATCAGCATCAGCCACCCCCCCCGCCCCGCCCCCCCCCCCCCCCCCCCCCCCCCCCCCCCCCCCCCCCCCCCCCCCCCCCCCCCCCCCCCCCCCCCCCCCCCCCCCGCCCCCCCCCCCCCCCCCCCCGCCCCCCCCCCCCCCCCCCCCCCCCCCCAGATGTCGTCGCAGCTTTGTTCGGCTGAGAGATCGCCGCGGTTCTCTCCCGCAGACTCTCCGCTGGCCACATCAGCATCAGCATCAGATGTCGTCGCCACCCAAACGATCACTCGTCGCGGGCGCCAGGGGGGGGGCCGAACGACGACGCGGGAGCGGACGCGGGAGGAGGCACACACAAGGGTGAGCGATCGACGCGTCTCTTCCGGCCAACTCCTCGCGCGCCCGGCCATCAGCATCAAGCATCAGAGTCGTCGGTGCGCGACCAGCTTGTTGTCGCTGAGAGATCGACCGCGTCTCTTCGCAGACCTCTGCCGCTGCCGCCACAGCATCAGCATCAGATGTCGTCGCCACTGTTGTTCGGCTGACATTCGACGAGTATCGCCGGAGATCACCGTCGCCCACCAGCACGCGGACGCTGCCGGATCATCGTCGGCCACGCGTTCCACGTCGTCGGCCACGCGTTCCGCGTCGTCGGCCACAGACGTCAGCAGCTGTTGTTCGCTGAATGAGAGGTTCTCTTTCTCGGCGAGACTCTCGATCGCATCTTCACCCGAGCTGTCGGTGTGCGTAACAGATGAACCCTTTTCTACCTTCGAGTCCGTCAGCACAGCTTTAATGCCCTCTGTACCTGTGCACTCAGTGTGCGTAGCTGGAACAACCTGTTCTGTCTCGTTTGTGCACTCAGTGTGCGTAGTTGGGTTCACTCTCTCCTGCCTCCTTTTGTACACTCAGTGTGGGGTAGTTGGTTCACTATCTCTGCCTCCTTTGTACACTCAGTGTGCGTAGCTGAACAACCTGTTCTGTCTCATTGTGCACTCAGTGTGCGTAGTTGGTTCACCTTGTTCTGCCTCCTTTATACACTCAGTGTGCGTAGTTGGTTTCACCCTTGTTCTGCCTCCTTTATACACTCAGTGTGCCGTAAGTTTGGCCTTGCACCTCTAATTCTGCCTCCTTTATACACTCAGTGTGCGTAGTTGGTTCACTATCTTCTGCTTCCTCTGTACACTCAGTGTGCGTAGCTAGTACATGCTGTTCTGTCTGGGAATCCATTACCACAGTGCCACTATCAGCCTCTGAGCAGACAGTATTCATAGCTGCACATCTGCGCAATCTGACAGTCCGTTTGCCCACACAGAAAATGTCCTTCCGTGGATGCGTACAGGGTGGAGGGACGTCCACAATGCCACCAACACATGGCAAGGTTCTCCCTGCTGCGATACAGCCATACGCTGGCGCACCATCATGCTGTTTGACGTCGTCCCGCCGACCTTGATCGTCATCCTGTTGATCCTTTCTCGAGATCGTCCGTCCCTGTTTTTCCCGATCTTCTGTATGATCGTCCGGTCGACTTTGATCATCGTCCTGCCCTCCGTCCTTCCCGTGGCGTGTGTGTGTGATCTGGTCCGTCTCCGCTCGCTCGACCTCTTTTTGGCTGCTCGTCGTCCTGCCGACTGATCGTCGCCCCTGTCGACCTCCGATCGTCGTCTCTGGCGCTTGCCGGCGGGCCGTTGCGTCCCCGGCGGACTTTGATTGTCCTCTCTGCTGAACTCCGATCGACATCCCTGCTGAAACTCCTCGACATCCTGCCGCCTCCGTCGACATCCTGCCAACCCCCGATCGACTCTGTTGCGACTTGATCGTGTCTGCTGACCCTGGGTCGCGTCTTGCGACCTTGATCGTCGTCCCTGCCGACCTTGATCGCCGTCTTGGCCGGACCTTCCGATCGTCGCCTGGCAGCGACCTGATCGACGTCCTGCCGACCTTATCGTCGTCCCGGGCCCGACCTTGATCGACGTCCGCTCCGACCTTGAAATCGTCACCTGACGACCTTCTTGATCGTCGTCCTTCGACCTTGATCTCGCGCCGCGGACCTGATCTCCCTCTGAACCCGATCGACATTCCTGCTGAAACTCGCTCGACATCCTGCGAGCCTCGATCGACATCCTGCGACTGTGATCGTTGTCCTGTGACCTCTTTTGATCCGACGTCTTGCCGACCCTGTCGTCGTCCTGCCGACCTTCCAGACGACGTCCTGTCGACCTTTGATCTGATCCGTCCTGCCGACTTCGGATTGTCGTCCTGCCGACCTTGATCGTCGTCCTGCGTAAGACCTCGTCGACGTCCTGCCGACCGATTCGACGTCCTGGCTGACCTTGATCTTCGGTCCTG